CTAATGAGTATCTCTCCTTCGGCTATACCCCCTTTTTATTATATGTGGGTGAGGGTGTGGGTAGCGGGTGTGGGTATGCGGGTGTGGCTGAGGGTGTGGGTATGTGGGTGTGGGTGAGAGTGTGGGCATGTGGGTGTGGGTGAGAGTGTGGGTATGTGGGAGTGGGTGAGGGTGTGGGGATGTGTGTGTGGGTGAGGATGTGGGTGTGGATGTAGGTTGGCATGGGTGGATGTGAAGAGGAAGAACAACATCTGCACCTACACCGACACGCACACTTGCACCCACACCCACACACCCACACCCACCCACACCCACATCCACACCGACACCCCCACCCACACCCACATCGACACCCACATCCTAATACTCGTTTTTTTTTGTAACTTATTTATTGAACCTTTCAGATCTTTATGAACTGAAAAAATAAGTGATTAGAAGTTATTTCAATCAATGATTTGATATTATTCTAGAGAACGGAAGAATATACAATGCATCAGATTTGTCTGTATTTCTTTAATCTAATTCGTGTATATCAAGATAATCTTTATCATAAGAATGAAAAAAAAAGTGCAAATATATACAAAGTTTTTGTTTCGCTATAATATGTTCAGATCTTTAGTTGTCGGCATCGATGTCATCGCTCTTAACTGCCTGGAATTCAGATGATTCATGAGGTGCTTTTATCTTTTTCTCCCGATTTTTGTCTGCAACTGATCGAGATCGGAGTGATAACTGACGTATGTTTTTTTTGTTATTACTATTTTCATCTTCAATTGATCGAGATTTGACAGATTTTAGATACCGATTGGTTTTCTGATCGTGGTCTTCCTCTTCGTCTGAAGATTCGGATGATTGTTCAGCACTTTTATGAAGAATATTATGTTTCCATTCGTGAAGATCTTTTTTAGGATTACAACATGCTAATGCTTCCTTAAATTCATTGGGAAATATATTAAAAGATTTAACAAAGTCAGTAAATTGTTGTTTCATTGATATAATTAGTCTTAATTCAGCTTTTGTATTTTGTTCGATAATATTAGCTGCTTCTCGATGAAATGTTGCTTCTTCATTCTTAAATGATTTGGTTTTGGCTTTGATTGATGTTGATATGTCATTTAATTTTTCATTTGGCTTGGTTTGAGGTGTTCGGAAAATCTTTTTTCTTAATGTGTTACGCCATGAACCAGTTCTTTGCTGGCTTATTTGAGTTCGAAGTTTACCTTGTTGCTTTTTCAGATCAGTTATTTCTTCGGATAGTCTATTAGCAGTAGATTGCATTTCTTGGAGTTTATCTTTTAATAATTGATGATTCCTTTCATTTGGTATTGAGTTTTGAACAGTTTTTAACTTTTCAATAATCTCATCATTTTGTTCTGTAACAAGATTAATAGAAAAGATAGCAGTATCGAAAATGTACCATAAACTCTCATACGGTGTTAAATTTCTTTCATTATCTGTAAAGAATTTATGCCATTTATTTTGCCATTCTTTTGTGTCCTTCGAAGACTTCGATAAAATATTGACTAAGCCTTTGATCATTTTACGTTCAGCATCTTGAAGGCAAATATCTGCATTTATTCATAAAGAATATTTTACTCAAACAGATACGAAAAATAATTGTTTATAATTACTATTTTCTTGTAGTGTACATGCAGCTTCATAGTTCACAATTTTCTCTTCATTAGACGATTTATTTGAAAATGCAGAGAATTGTTTCTTCGTTGAACTTGATCTGGCCATTATTTTCCTCTTGTTTGAGATTCGAAAGTGCTGTAATATTATATTACTGACTCGTCTTTTTCATAAGAAGAATGACCATATATATATTTATATATAAACGGATCGTCATAAAAAAGAAACCCACTGTGAATTGATAAAATCTGAGAATTTCCAACAAAAAAAAAACTGCGAAAATCAGATTAAAACAACATTGAAATGAAGAAAACAACAATCGGGTTTTTTTTCACATTAAATCAATAATAGATTATGTTCGTAAATACGACACATTTAGCAGTTCTCTCTTTTTCTACAAGGTAATCCTATGTACAGACATCATAATATTCTGCATCTTAAGAAGAAAAAGGATGTGGGTGTGGGTAAGGATAGGGTGTGGATGTAGGTGTGGGTGTGGGTGTGAATGTGGATATGGGTGTGGGTGTGGGGTGTGGGGGATGTGGGTGTGGGTGTGCCGTGTGGGTGTGGGGACTGGGTGTGGGTGTCGGTGTGGATTTGTGGGTGTGGAGTGCGGGTGTGGATGTGTGGGATGTGGGTGTGGGGTGTGGGTGTGGGTGTGGGTGTGGGGTGTGGGGGATGTGTGTGTGGGTGTGGATGTGGGGGATGTGGGTGTGGGTGTGCCGTGTTGGTGTGGGTGTCGGTGTGGATTGTAGGATGGGGGTGTGGATGTGGAGTGTGGATGTGGGGGATGTCGGTGTGGGTGTGGGTGTGCCGTGTGGGTGTGGGTGTGGGTGTGGGTATGGAATCTGGGTGTAGGTGTGGATGTGAGGGATGTGGGTGTGGGTGTGGGGTCTGGGTGTGGATGTGGATGTGGGGGATGTCGGTGTGGGTGTGGGTGTGGGTGTGGGTGTGGGTGTGGGTGTGGGTGTGGGTGTGGGTGTGGGTGTGGGTGTGGGTGTGGGTGTGCCGTGTGAGTGTGGATGTGGGGTGTACAGGAATAGAACACACCCGCACCCACCCACAGCCATCCCTTGAGAAGATTTATATATTCGTACATGAGTATGAAACTAAATGCAATCATGAGAAAAATACTTGGTGATAGCGATTTTTATTCGAAATTTTCTTTTCATGTTACCGAAAATAAAACTCAGGTTTCTCCAATTTTCTCCTATATTTGCGAACGTTTTTTGTGAGAGGTATCTTGAAGTGGAGACACAACGAATCTTTGACCATTCCTTACCGGCTACCTCTCATTTGCGAACATAAAGAAAATAAATTTTAAGTAAATTAAAATTTTTAAAATTTCGTTGGATTCAAATTTGATAATTTTATCAACTTTTTGTAAAATGATTAAAGTTTACATTTAACTTTTAAAAATTCGATTACTACGAACGAATATTGAAAATAAATTGTTTTAAAAGATTTTTATAAAATTTTTCTTTTTTTACCAAGCATGCTGCAATTTGTAGAGGTCGTTAGTTTTTTGATAATAAAGACTTTTCAAGACTTCGATAGTTACTGCAATTTGTAGAGGACGCAAGTTTCTGATAGCAGAGAGTTTTTGATATTTACTGCAATTTGTAGAGGACATAAGTTTTTGATCAAAGAAATTTTTTTAATTTAGTACTCTGTCTGGAATTTGTACAGGACGTTAGATTTTAGTTGAACTAAAATTTTCCTTTGAATCTAGCTCCGAAGAATTTTAATGGAAGTCAATAATAGAATGTACTAGCTAGTTTTTTCTTTTGTTATGGATAAACTAATACTCATAGTGCACGAGCAAGGGTCGTCGATTTGGGCTGAACTAAGGACGTTTTCAGTTCAAGACAAAGCGAGTTTTTAAGAAGATTGTATCATAACTTGTTGTGATAATTTGATATTTGTTCTGACTGTGGCGTGGATGAATCGAACTGTGTTCGTCAAGAGAAGACGCTCATTAATATCTATATTTTTGAGCCGTCTTTTTTAGAACATCATTTTTTGTATTTATGATTTTTGTCTATAAATGCTTTTGCACCCCAATCAGTGATCTCCATTTAATGTTCGATTCTATTTTACTATCATAATTATATAGTCTGTTCAAAATCAAAAACAGCTGATGACATTAATAGTAACAATTATGTCTGACGAACTCAATAAATTGCAGTCAATTGAGAATAAAAAAAGCACTACTATATTTTAGCGCACTCTACAAATTACAGCTCAATAAATTGAAATAATGAAACTCAATCTTTAGCGAACTCTATAAATTTCAACAAGTTTAAAAATATAATTGAAATTTTAATTTGGTTAAAAATTGTTATCAGTAAATTTTTTTGAAATTTGAAAACCGAAAATTTAAGACCTAAAATTATTTTAAATTTGAATAAATTAAATTTAAAAAACAACTGAAATTTAATTTAAGAGATTTTTAATTTCGATTTTATGTTCGCAAATGAGAGGACACGTTCCTTACCACATCCTTCATGGAATTCTTTGTTCCCGCAAAAGATATAGATATCAATGATATTTGACATATTATGAATCTGTGGTACCAAATCCTTGTCTAAAGCACCTGAACATATAACTAACGCTTCCTCATCAATCATATCATTGAGCAATTTGATGATTGGTGCTGTTTCTGTAGAATTTTTCACATTTCTAACGATTTTACGTAACTCGGAGAGTGTATTTTCAGAAGCCTCAATGTCTTTATCAATATTCGGATCTGCCCAGACGAGCACATCATTTTCGACTGGAAGCATAGAGTGTTCTGAATCACTTTTCAATCATGCACTTATTGCGTTCTTGATGATTGCGCCCATGTTGAGTACATCCTGGAACATTTCGCCTACATATGACATCTACAATAGTTTCAATTCACGATACTAGTAGTACAACAAGTCCAAGGCCTTAGAATTTGCTACAAAAAAGATTTGGATTAGTTCTCGAATAGTATATGGATTGACATTTCGGTTTGGTCTTAAATTAATAAAATATCAACAGACTTTGAAAGGAAGAATCCCAGAAGTAACAAAAGAATCTCAAGTTTCATCGATCAAGATGAATCGGTTTCGGTTCGGAAATTGAGATTTGGTTTTCGTGTAACACGACTACAAAGCTGAAGTCATGTTAGATTGAAATCAAATCCCAAGTCCACAGCTAAAGCTAACATCAAATCCAAATCCAAATTGTACATCCCAACGATATCTCCCATGAGAAATCCTAAATATCAGCCAAAAGAAGTGATAGCAGCAATCCAGAGATTCAAATCAAAACGAAATCCACATCTGGGAACTAAAGCGAAAACATACCCAAATTCAGCAACCAAATCTAAATCCGAGTTGATTTCTCACAGATTTGGTACCAAACCCTTAAACTATTCAAGATTTATTGCACTCCTATACAGTATGGTAGCCTTCAAGAAATGGAAGAAACAAAAATATCCAACAATACAATTTATTCTTTTTGTTATTCTTGACAACTTTCATTTTCTTTTCATCTAAATAAAAAGCACTTAAAAGTCAATGCATTAGATGCCGACTCTGAGTGATTATAAATTTTTTGATCGATTCTGCTGAAAAATAAACTTGCTTCTGTTTCTAAAAGCTACCAAAGCAGCATCAGTTAGGTGTAGATGTGGGTGTGGGTGTCGATGCATCTATGATACCGTGAGGTTCTTTGTTCCAGTATGACACTGGATAACTTAAATGAATTGTATAATAATTCAGTTTTGATTGATTTCTATCAAGAATAAGTCTTTAGTGTGCCAGGATTTGCAAGGATCTAGTCCTTAAAGACTACATACCCTTGTAGAACCTGGTAGACTCTTGTATACTCTGGTATCTAATACTTGACAGTTGAATTGAAGTTCAAGTAGAAACTTGAAGCTCTAAGTAAAAAGAGTACATTTCTCTCGATGTGGGTGTCACGAACACTAGGTGAAAGTGGGTATTAATCTACGGACTGTTGAATTTCAAACGAGCTTTGAAGAAAGAAAAGCATTCCTCTCCTAACAGAAACTAGAGATTACTGAGATTGAGAAATACAAAATTATGTGTACAGGCTTGTGCCCACTTTTGATGCGATGTGGTATATGGTATGCTTTAGAATGTGGTGTTAGAATGAGAATGTGAATATGCGAGCGTGGAGGGAGGATGACGACATGTGGCCTCAGAGACATCTGACGTCCACACCTACAATTCCAGCCATAGTTTCAGCTACAGGCATATGACACTGACACTAATACTGGCACCCTGTTTTTTTTGCATAGTGAGTTGTTTTGTGATGTTTAATTTGAATTCTCTACAGTTGCCATTTATAGTCCTCCAGTCAAATTTGAAGAGTAAAAGAAGTCGGAAAGAAAATTGAGAAAAAGATGGCAAGATGCGATAGAAATAGAGTACTGAGCATCCCTATGGTGGAAAAGTAAAAGAAATCATTCAACAACAAGCATCTCTCTCTGATATATAGAGAAGTCGACAATGTTGGAGCGAAACGTAATTCTAGTTTATTAGGTGAGCTTAATTTTGACTATTTGATTTTGATGGGGAATTTATCAAAAAAAATTTGTTAGACATGATATAGTATTTGAAATAATATAAACAAAACGACGATATGATGAG